TACCATTATCCATTAAAATATATATTCAGTAAAGAATCGAATTCTAAATCAAAAGAAAAATGAAAAACCACCCTTTATGTAACCATTAAATTACTTCGTTATTTGGGAGTTCTACATTTACCGAATGTTCTTAATCATATTAATATTAAGATTAAGTATTCTATGAAGTAAATATTGCTCAGAAAAAAAAGATTATTCCCTAATCATTGTATTTAAATCTTTTTTAGAGTAAGATATCTTTTAACCATCTACGATACCAAATGATTTTAATACATAAATATATTTATGGATCAATTGCCATTTCATTATATCTCGCTAAAGCTCGAAGAAATAATTAGTACGGCAATTTAAATTCTTTCTTACATGATCCCTTGAAAAAGTAAGTTTTCAATATTAACACAATTTAATCGATACATTTTATAAAACCCTTTTAAATAATGCTGTTTCACTTTGAAATACTTTTGACCATTTTAAACACAGTTGTAAAACAATTATTTATTCTAGATAAATAAAAATGAGTAAATATTTTTTATAAATAAAAGATAAATTTTAAAACATTATAAACTAAATTTTTCCTCTTACAATCTTCACCACTCCTTGACTAAATACTACTTCAAACTCGTGGGTAAATTGTGACCATCATTGTTTATGGTATTTTGGTTATCTCTTCATATAAATCCTAGATAATACTAATTAATATAAAAGTGAAAATTTAAATGTTATTTTAGAATGAAATGTGGCATTTTAGGCTTAATCATAGATCTTTATTTTTTATTCTTATAATGCACTTTGTTCTCATCAGCTTTTCATGCAAATACTAAAAAAGAAAATAGATTTTATGAAACTCTAATAAATACTACTGAAATTTATAAATCCTTCCAGACTTTAAGTCATTGTTTGCCTCTTTGGGATCTTTTCTGAGAAAAAGCCCATTATGAATAAGGCTTTGGCATATTGTTAAGAAATCTGCCTCTTTAAAAGATTTTTGCAATAAATATCATTAATTTACTTTTAAAAGAAGATCTTATTCTCGCAGTAATTGAGCAAAATCAATGTTAAGAAAATAGAAGATGATCTACTTTAGAAGTGAAAATATAATACCGTTCTCAATCCTTCCATCCAATCAGACAAATAAGAAACTTTAAGCTTATACTAATTCACTAAAATACTTAGCTAAATAATAATTGAAAAATCCTCCAAATTTATTTAAGTGTATAAAATATTATTTTTTAATTGATTATTCTTTTTGCATGAAAAAGATCGTTTGTATTAAAAATCTATTTTTAATTATCATCTTCCTTAAATTAGCATTAGAAACTTTCTTATCAACGATCTGACAATTCGACTTTATAGAAATTATTAAGGGAAGGAACTTCCACATCAATAGAAACATTTTACAGGAATATCTTTTGTCTTTATTCATTAAATTATTAATAGATTTTACTTTAACATAATCACCTTGATAAACACGATGAAAAATCCTTAACCAAAATATTTATAAAAATAATTTAACTTGAGAGGGCATTTATATATCTTTTAATCTTTGTTATCTAAATTTTAGATCAAACCCTACTAATCATATCATAAAGTATTAAAATTCTTAAATTATGCAGAAATTAGAGATGGAACAAATTGTTCATTTGAATATATTTTAAAACTTAAAATTTAATTAATTTATCTGAATTTTTTTACACAATATTCAATTTTTTCTTGACTAGTTTGGTTGTCTTTATTTAAATTTAAAAAGGCAACTTCCCTTTTATACAAATAGTCCTTTTAAATCAATGCCAGCATGGTTTTAAAAGCTTGAGTTAAATATCAAAGCACTTTATGTTGAAATTTGAGGGGGTTCTTGGGAAAGAACAAAAATTGGATAAGATTGACCTAATAATAAAAAAAATTTATACGATATATTTAAGAAAATGTTTTAGAATTATTTTAAAAGGGTTATTCAAATTAGGCGAATTCATTAAACTCTTTAATTTATTGTTAATATTCAACATCCCATAAAATTATAGACTAATCTACATGGCCAGATGCTATTGCAATACCATCAGGTGAGAAACAGACGCATTAAACATTGTTATAAAAACCTTAAAATTGTAATTTTTATTATTCTGCTTCAATATCCCATAAGCGAATAGACCTATCTGCGCTACCAGATGCTAATGTATTACCATTAGGAGAGAAACATACTGAATTAACACTGCCTGTATGACCAGTTAATATGGCTTTTAACTATCCTGTCTTAGCAACCCATAAACAGATAGACTTATCTGAACTGCTAGATGCTAATAAAGTACCATCAGGAGAGAAACAAACTGAATTAACACCGCCTGTATGACCTTATAATATGGATATTAATTATCCTGTCTCAACGACCCATAGACGAATAGATTTATCTACACTACCAGATGCCAAAGTCAAACCATCAGGAAAGAAACAGACTGAAATGACTTCTCCAGTGTGACTTTTCAATATGCCTTTTTATTTTCGTGTCTTAACTTCCCATAAACAAATTGACTTATCCCAGCTACCTGATGCTAATAATTAACCATCAAAAGAGAAACAGACTGATTAAACAGCTTATCTATGTCCATTTAATACTGCCTGTATTTATCCGGTCTGAGCATCCCATAAACGGATAGAGTTATCTGCACTACCAGATGCTAACATAGTACCATCAGAAGAAAAACAAACTGAATTAACACAATTTCTATGACCTTATAATATTGCCTTTGGTTATCTTGTCTTAAAATCCCATAATAGTATAGACTAATCTGCACTACAGGATGCTAATGTAGTCATATCGGGAGAGAAATAGACTTCATTAACACGATCTGTGTGACCATCTAATATGAATTCTTACTATTCTCTCTTAATAGCCCACAAACGAATCGACTTATCTGCACTGCCAGATGCTAATGTAATACCATCAGGAGAGAAACAGACTGAATAAACAGTATTACTATGACCAACTAATATCTCCTTTAATTATCCTGTCTCAACATCCCATAAATTAATAGATTTATCATAGCTACTAGATGCTAATGTAGTACCATCAGGAGAGAAGCAGACTGAATAAACAGTATTAATATGACCTTTTAATATGCGGTTTTATTGTCCTGTCTCTACATCCCACAAACGAATAGTCGTATCCCAGCTACAAGACACTAATGTAGTGCCATTAGAAGAGAAAGACACTGAATTAACAATCTTCATATGACCATTTAATATGAGTTTTTATAATCCTGTATTTACTTCCCATAAACGAATAGACTTATCGGTGCTACCAGATGCTAATTTAGTACCATCAGGGGAGAAACATACTGAATTAACACTACCTGTATGACCATCTAATTTAATTTTTTATTATCCTGTCATAACATCCCATAAACGTATTGACTTATCTGCGCTACCAGATGATAATGCAGTGCCATCAGGAGAGAAACAGACAGAATTAACGCAACCTGTATGATCATTTAATATGACTTTTTACAATCCTGTCTTAACATTCCATAAACGAATTGACTTATCCCAACTACCAGAGGCTAATGTACTCCCATCAGGAGAGAAACAGACTGAATTAACACAGCGCGAATGACCCTCTAATTTGACTTTTTATGATCCTGTTCTAACATCCCATAAACGAATTGATGTATCCCAACTACCAGATGCTAATGTACTACCATCAGGAGAGAAACAAACTGAAAGAATAGTTAATCTATGACCATCTGATTTTTCGTTTTAGAATTCTGTGTTAATATCCCAAAAACGGAGAGACCAATCTAAACTTCTTGATACTAGTGTGGTACCATCTGGAGAGAAGCAGAGTTAATTAACACTGCCTGCATGACCAACTAATTTAACTTTTTATTATCCAGTATTAACATCCCATAAACTTATAGAGTTATCACGACTACCAGAGGCTAAGGTATTACCATCTGGAGAAAACTCTACGGAGTAAGCCTGGCCTGACTGACCCTCTAATTTGACTTATTATAATCCTTTCTTACTATCCCATAAGCGGATAAAATTATCATAACAATATGATGCTAATGTGGTTCCATTAGGAGAGAAACACATTGAATCCACAGAGCCAGTATATTCATCTAATTTGCTGATTTATTATCCTGTCTTAACGTGCCATAAACGGATAAAATCATCATAACTATATGATGCTAATGTGGTACCATCAGGAGAGAAGCATATTTTATGAACGATGCCTATATGACCATTCAATTTGGATTTTTATTATCTTGTCTCAACATCCCATAAACTTATGGACTAATTCTAACTGCATGCTAATAATGTACCATCAACAGAAAAACATATAGTCTTGGAGGCGCTAGTGTGATTAATTAATTTTGAAATTTTTTTACATGCTTTAAAATTCCATAAAGACAAACTATAATCGCCTAAAGAAGCTAATATAATGCCATTAGATGAGAAGCAGATTAATCTTACCCCCTTTTTTTATAATAATAATTTTATTTTTCCTGTTTTAATATTCTATAGACGAATATAATTCTAATTATTTATTGATGCTAAATACAGATTATCTGGAGTAAAGCAAATTTAATCGTCATGACGATCATTATACTCTTAGAGCTAATTTATTCTTAAATTCTTCCAATTACAATCAAATAATTTGGCTCTAGTTAAATTCATTCCATTAATAATGACATTGTCAAATTCAGATCGACTTAAATCGCACTTCACAAAATTAGCTCCTAAAAGAGAAGTGTTTTAAATTTTAATATTTTTAAAACATTATTCTTTCAAATCAACCTTCATTTAAATTAGTAAATGTAGAGAATTTGATCCACACTATATATATCTTCTATCTATAGCAGTAAGCTGAACTAAAAATTATAGAAATTTTATGATCCTTTTATCTTATGATATTTTTGTGATCAGATCATTTTTGATTTTTTCATAGTTTGATATTGAATAATTTAGTGTATTAAAACTATGAATTTTAATTTTTTCGAGAATATTTGACAATTTCTCAATATTATTTTTTCCAACAATTATTATCAGTTCCTTATGAATATATGATAAATATTCTACCTATAGCATGCTTTAATCAACTTGTAATTGATTTTATTGGAGAAATTCTAGACAGTCTTAAATTTTCTCTCTTTTAAATATTTTAATTAGGACATGGAAGACTGATGCATCAAATTCTATAGTTGAAGCCAAAACCCAATAAAAATCTTCATCGTATTCATTTTAACAATTCATTATTTTAATTTCAATAATATTGAATTTCTATTACTTTTTTTCCAATATATAATAGTCAAAAAATAAAACATATCTTATAAAGCAATTTAAACCCAAAGAATTCATTGGCAATTTTTTTTTTCAAGAGCCTAGAATACTTCGAAATAAAATAAATAGTCTAAAATTTGAACCGAAGCAAAATCAAAAGTATACTGTACATGAAAAAACATGGATTAAATTTATATTGGTAAAAAGGAAACAACTTCCTTGGCTCATCCAAAAAAGAATGACAAATATATTTTGCTTTAATATCAAAAACAGGTTAAAGTATTAAACAAACTAAAGAAAATAGATAAAATATAACTTAATTGCTTATGAAAATTTATTGTGATAAAAATGATAAAGATAGTTCACTTTTGGTTGGAGAACACAGCAAAAAAAATATCGCATGTCAAATATCTTAAATTTATGAATTTAACAATTCAATCTCTGAACTTAATCTTATGAATTCAAGTTTTCATTTCTCTGTTTAATTACCTATTATAAATAATTCAAAAATAATTAAATACTTTTGCAAAAATATCTAGGTTTTGAAAGAAAATTCTTATATAGGAAGGAATAAGTAGTTTAGAAAATTATTTTCTTCAGAAATAAATTAGATAAATTAGAGAATCAATAAATTTTAGAAAAAATCATTGAGACTTGTTAATTATTATCAGGTGTGAGTAGACAACAAAAGTTTCAAAATTTACAATGATAAATAATAAAATAATTTTAGTAAATAAGAATATTTTAATATTTAAGGAAATTAATAAATTACTTACTCAACAAATTTAATGACATCTAGTACCATAAATTATATTTGGCAATAAAAATTCATAATCATCTCAGCTAAGTTGACTCGAAAATATTGCCTAAAAATAATTTCTTTAAAATAGCAAACCTTGTAAAGATAAGTTTCTAAGAAACTATTGAATTACAAATTTAACTTAAATTTCAAAATATGTTATTTTCTTAACTAAAAACATGCTGATATCCTTGGAATATCCTTTCTCATTGTATTTAAGAAACAGTTCATCATGCATGAACAGATGCAGAAGGTCTGCTAAAGTAAGGAAATTAAAAAGAACGGTAAGGGATTGAAAAAAATCTAAAAATAGATTTAAAAACAATATTATGGTTTCTAATATATCTTAGAAACAATAACAATTTAAATTTTCATCTTATGAGCTTTCTTTTCAATTTAGGGTCTAAAACATATTTATTCTTTCTTCATTTGAAAATGATCATTTATACTCTTCTTATTTTCAAAAATTCTAAGCTATGAAAGTTAAGTGACTCTTATATTTTATATTATTTGTTTTCATAATAATTATATAGTAATAAAGCCTAAGTCTTTTAAGGAATTAAGAGTGGACCTTTTAGACAGAATCACTATTTCAAACAGCTTTACTAAATTTTCATTGTCGAAAAAAAAAAATTATGCGAATATATAATATAGATTTTGAATATAAAAAGGACAATTATAATAAGGTTTTATACTAAAAAATTTCTTAAAATATATACAATAAATTTTAAATTAAGTTTTTGCAAGCCCTGTTATGTAAAATCAAAATAAGAAAAATGGATAAAAATTTAAACTGTTTATCTTAACAAATATCCCTGTAACCTTAATGTATCTATTTTCTTAATTGATTATCATAAATAATTGATATTTCTTTTATGATTTTCTCCCTTTTTCTATGTTTGAATGATGTTTCTTTATAAAAGCAGCTAAGTTTGCTTAAATGTTTTAGATATTCTTTTTTGAGTTAAAGATTTTCAGAAATCAGTTGTAAACTTAAGAGATCTTCATATAAATGTATAATAATTAGAAAAGTTTATAAGATATTTTCAGAATTGTTGAATCAATCTCTTAACTTTAAGATATATACAACTTTTCAGCTTTAAGCAGGATATTTATAAATATATAATATGTATTGTATTAATTCTTGACTCATTCTATAATAATTTGCCTTGACAAATTGTATACTATTTAGTTTGTATTTATTTTTGCTATTTAATAGAGTCTTGATATATAGGCAAAGGATTTTACGATCTAAATAAGATAATCAATGAGATTAGAACATTTTATCTACTCCAAAGGAAATGACAATTTTTATTTTTAAACATAAAATAATTTTGGATGGTTTAACAGTTTGGAATGAATCTCATTCTGAAATCTCAATTTATTTTAATCTAACCCTTTGGAGATGGTTATGATGGATAATTTATTATCAGATACTCACAGTGCAATTCAAGCTATTTCATAATTCTGATTGAAAATCAAAACAATTTTTACTCGTCATATATACTAAAGCAAATAAGTTTTGAGAAAATAATATTCCATCGTTTTCCATTATGCAGTATTATTATCATTATGTAACGCCATCTTTTGTATCAAGCCCTAAAACATTAATAGTATGCTCAGTTACGAAATGGAGTGGCCCTAATTGTAGTGGCGGCTAATATATTAAATCGACTAATCTACTGGACCTTTGGTTGTAGTTGTACATCATGCACTAGTGTAGAGGGAATATACCTAAAAAAAAATTTATTAACATATGGAAATTTGTTAATGAGTTAATTTACAAAATTTTTGAAATTGGTGTATTTTATGTAATAAATATTGCTAAATTGCAAAGGTATTAATAACTCAAATTGGATAAGTTTTTATCAAAATTAAACAGCGAAATTCAATTTATGTTCATCCTTGTACGAATATTACGATAATGGGAAAGTCATACTTAGTATTTCGGTATGTGGGGTTAATTATAGGTTAGAGAAAGTAGAACGTGACGATGGAACAAAAGGACTTTTGGAGTATTGTCTGAGTTGTAGAAATCCTATAAATTGATATGATGACCATACATATCAAAATATTATGATTATTTGCTCCTAATTTTAGACCACTACCAAACGAGAGTAATAACTAAGAAATGGTATTGTTAATAATGTGAAAAAATTTCTTGTGTTTTTAGATTAGATAATTAATCTAAGAGAGTTATCTATTATGAATTCTAGAAGCATCGAAAAATCACTCATTGAGATAATTTAATATACTAATTCCAATTATTGGTAATTTCGTAATTTGTAAAATTGTTGATGAGAGAAATTGTTATTGTGAAAAATTAATTCTATTTTATAATGATAATTTTAAGATAATTAACAATAACAACTTGTGCATGTCCTTCATTTAATTCATAATATTGGGAAGAAAAAGGCAAAAGAAATTCAAAGAATTAATAAATTTATTGATTTACATTCCTTATTTCATCCTATCAAAATTTCTAATTTTTATTAGGTCCTTATACTTCATATTAATTCAAATAAAGGGGGATGACAATTATGAAAAGAATAAATATATAATTAATGGATAATCAACATCAGATTAATACATAGTGAAAAAAAATTCGTAACTATCTAAAAAATTACAAACTTAATATTGACTACATAAAATATATGAATTTTTAGGTTTTAAAGAAAACGTAATTGATTTAATAATAAAATAATGTATATCAAAATTCCAAATACTAATTTTTTTTTGAATTTGTGAGTTAAATTTCACCCATGTTATTTCCCAACATCTTAAACAAATTAGTGAATTTCTAGATAAGGTAATTTACTGATTTTGATAGATTAACTCTCCCATATGTATACTCAAATGTTTACTATAATTATTTAACAATTCACCATTTTCAAAATATTGAATAATTAAATAACGTGAATTTTTCAACATTTCTCTCATAATTGCATCTCAAATCTTTCAAATGCATCTTTTACTGTAGTGAATTCTTCCTCTTGGCATATTTAGACATTTTGAAGTTAATAAATTTTAAGCCAAATATTTCATCCATATTTGGTGAATTTAATACCTAGAAAATTTATTAATGTAAAGCTAATGGATTGGTCAATTGCCAATATATTAAAATTATAAATCATTAATGAAATACTTACTCCTCCAAAACCAAATATATTATTTATTTGTATTATATTGTTACTCCTTCTTAATAGCAATATTTCCTATTCAACGATTTTTTTACGCGTTACTCAAATCAGATCAACCGTCTAAATTATTATTATTATCCATAAACTGATAATAACGTACTTTTTTTCATGAAATAGTTAATTAGAATAAAAAAGGTTAGCCTTGCTATTAAAATGGTCTATACAGTTATATAATTCTAGTAAAAATGTGTATAATACAGGTTATGCAAGCCCTTTAATAATAATTTACTCTTTTTAGAACGGTACTTCAATAATTACCCTGGATTATAATTCCTAAAGCGATTTTACCATCTTTGCAGCTTGGATTATGATAAACATGAATTGTTTTAATTGGGATTAAGACAGATGTCAAATCGCGAAAGAGAAAATTCAAATTAAAATAAAAAAGAACAATGAAATTATATACTCTTAATCTGATGTAGAAATTTTAAGAATGTAAACTGAATTTCTGAATTTAATAGAGATAAAGCGAAAGAAAATTTGAGCTATCCTTTTTTATTAAGTAATAAGGGCTAGATCAGAAAACTACAATGGATTGGAGTATAGAGATAATACAATAGATAATCTGTGAAGTGGAGTTCTACTCGGTGTGGAGAAGTTTTAAGAGGAGTTGGTGGGAATAGTTAAAAATTAGGAAATTGATATACATTAATGATGGCTTGAAGTAAGGAGTATGGAAGGAGTTAATTTAGCAATATTCGAGGTATATTCTGCAATCACTTTTATTATTATAGTCGAGCTAAATTATATGAAATTGTAGAATGCTTGAATGATAAGAAAAAGGGAATATGGGAATTTATATATAACAATAAGAAGATTTATTGATACCTAAAACATTTTTTAGTGGTAGAGGATTATACAATGAAAAAAAAGTCAGAAGCATGGTGAATGGAAAGTGTTAAGTCAGGAATTCTGTGATTATTTTTAAGTTATTTTTTATGGTGAATACTAAGATGGCAGAAAGGTTGGTAGATGGGATATTTTGTATAAAAAGTTTGAATTAATGTAGAATATAAAATAGCCTTATATTCTATAAAATTAGTTATTGGACTGAGTTGAGCGATAGATTTTTGAATCAATCAGAAGTTATTTCTCGTGGTTAATATAAGAATGGCAAAAGAGTTGGCAGATGGGATATTTTGTTGATGATAACTAAAATTGCTACTTTCTTTCAATTGATGTAAAGTTTTAGTTTGAGCTCATTCTTAGTGATGGTGGATTTTATCCTGAAAGTAGTCGTTTAAAAGGAGGATAATGGATTGAGTTGAGTGATGGATTTTGGTTTGATTAATAAGTTACCCTTTAAGGTGAATATCAAAATTGTAAAAATGTCGGTAGGTGGAATATTAATTATCGTAATCGATGTTCAAATAAAAATAATTAGATGTAATAAATTAAATTCCAAATATATTTTAGTGGTGGAGGAATAAATTTTAGATATTTACAATTTCAAAATTTCTAATAATAATTGATTCGATAAAAGATAGCATCTTCATTTTTCCCTATTCATATCAAATTTGAATTATTTATCTGTTTCTCCTTTATATTATTGATTCTTATAAGCTTATTGAGATCAATTACATGTAAAGCTTTTTGTAAATCAGACATTATTTCCAAGGAAACTTATTTTATTATACATCGTACCAATTCTATATTTAAGGAAATAATTTTTCCAGTAGATTTTCATTTGCTTTTAAAATTCTTTCGATTAATTTTTCTTTGAAATTCTGTTTTGAGAAGGCTTAGATTTAAATTCTACATCTTAATATTGTTGATTAAGAAAGTGATCTGATTGTAGTTAATTTTGCTATAATATTTTGGTGAGTTATTAATAAAATGAGTTTTCCTAAAAGATACAGTGGCCGAAGCTTAGTCAAAACTTTAAAGGGTAAGATCTAACAAATCATACCAAGCTAAACCATCTACTGTGTAGTCATCCTCCCTGTGATCTCCATTTGGTATTTAATATTGTCTCTCTCAGTTAACCAAATACCAAGGCCTGAACCTTTCTGCTTGTTAATTGCCAGCTCTTCCATATCTTTTTGATATGGTTTGCCTTGTATTTTGTCTTCTTAAGATTTACATTGAGCTAGAATTCCTCAGCATTATTCATAAATACCTTGCAGCATGCATATAGGGGCTATCTTTTAATTTATACATATCACCACATTGTCACATAAGCTAAAATTTCAAGCTCTTTGTACATTCTCTTCTTCTTTCCTTCTCTTTAAGATAGGTGTTCCGCCTCATATTTAATTAGGTATTTCGTGCGATTGATCACATAGTCAAAGAAGATATTGTACAGAAAAGGGTTCCCACTCAGCCTTGTTGGACCCCGTTCTTAAATCTAATTTTTCTTTCTTGAGAGGATTATAAATGTTGAGATGATTGTATATTTTGAATAGAAAATAAAGTTTGGTTTAGAGTTAAAATTGCTTTCAGGCATCCGACAAGTTAATGAAGATGAAGTTTTTCTCACCTTTATTTTTATTCTGGTTAGGATTTTTTCTATTTGTACTTAAGTTCTCAAATTTGGGTTAAACCCAATTAACATGGATCCAAGTATTGATTATTAATCTCCTTAAAGGTCTACACGTATATCCATTAAAGAATTTTTAAGATCTGATTTAATAACTGGATAAGTTTAAATTTTCGCTTAAATGTAAATAATGAGATAATAAATATCTACTTGAGAATTAAAAAATTTTAATGCAATTAACATGAGATGTTCTCCACAAATTTAGAGAGTAAAGTGTTTTATAGATCTAATAAACGAAGAGAGAAATCCAGTAAGATCATTTACAAATATAGTGTGACAATATGTTATTACCTACTTAACTAAAAATTTGGTTAGATAAATGAAAATGTTCTAATACCTTATTTGATCAAATCTTTGGACAAAAAGCCAATATAATAATAGTAAAATTACCATCATTTATATTAAATATAAGCAAATAAAAAGATAGCAATATGAAAATGAATTACCTAACATATTGAAAAAACATTAAAACTAGTCAATTCTCAATATAAATGAGACTCTTCAGTTCATTATGTAAATAAAATGCAATTAGCTGATGAAGAATAGTTATTATTTTGATTGATCCCATGTTGGGAAAGGAGGATTCATAAATCATGTAATAAACATATTATAAATTGTGGAGTAAGGAAGAAGATATAAAATTGTTAACATTGGTTGTGATAAAAGATTGAGTAAAGTCATTCCAAAATTTAAATCATCACAGATCCGACAATGAAAAGAGATTAATTTTCTTGCTACTTGAGAAGAGATTTTGATATTGGATTAGTTAAAAAACATAAATATGTTGAATAAAAGTTGATTATTTTTTTTATGTTATAAATTACATTTTAATCATTAAAATGTATCTGCCTAGCAATAATTAACGAAACATAGAAATAATTTTTAAACATAAGTATATTATAATGATTTAAATAAATCAACAATTGAAATATTAAAATTAAAAGCCATTCTTTCAGCATAAGTGAAAGATACTCATAAGGATTTGGTTTGGTCAACGCAAAAATTAAGAAAATTTATCTGAGTAGTGATAATTGCGAAGTAGATATTTTGATGGTTGATTTAAATTAGAATTAATTAGACGAGTAATAATTATTTGTTAAAATACAATATTTGAAATAATTATAAATAAAAAAGAAAGAATAGTACATAAGGGGGGCGACAATAATATCTCAATATGGACAAAGGACGATTAACGAAAAAAGGAAATTTTCAAGGAAATTATAGGATTACCCTGTTATTCTTAACACAAAAACATATATAAAAATTATGATAAATTTGAATTCCACAAACTAAAATTAATAATAGAAAGTATTTCTGCTTTGATTTTAGTGACATATTGATATTATCAAAATGGCTGGTGTTGTATTATTACCATTTTTACAAAGCTTAGATTTGATAAAACATGATTTTGTAACATTATCTAATTAATGATGGCAAATACCTCATAGCTTATGTTGAAGATTTCAAGAAATATCAAGTTCACGAAATCAAATGGTGAGGAAAATGTATCAAATGTTAATATTAGCAATACAGTCAATTATCAAATTATATTATTTCAAAAATATATTCTTCGATATTCTATTTTATTTTTTATCTTGATAATGAAAATAATATCTTATTAAATATTAAATTATTATTGTTGTTAAAACTTATGAATAATTAGAAAATAAAAATCTATATGATCTAATTTAGAAATGGCATTTGAAAATGAATGATGAATATTTGGGTTTCAGTTATTTAATATTAGAAATAAAAAAATCTTCTAAATCAAAATACGACGTTTTTAATAGAATACAATAAAAATAGAAATTAGAAAACAAAATATGGATTAAATTAAAATTATACTAATCAAAAAATGTTATTCAATTTGAATATATTTATAAATTTCATTATTCAGGATTATATCCTTTGAAGAATTATTTAATCTAATCCACTTTAAGGTTCTTAAGGTAGGAATAGAAAGATAATGATTCATTATTTTTTTGATAATATCCCTTACTTAAAATTTATTTTTTAGCGATATTTAATCTTTAAGTCAATTTTGATCTCCTGTCAGAACCTTCTGGTAAAGATACTAAGTGAACATTTTACCCATGAAATGTATCTAATTATAATTAAGTTCCTTTATGAAACCATTTTGATTTTAGTTCAAGGGTTTTGTGCATATTCAGAAATGTTTGTTAATAAATCCTAAATATATATGATTGATGAAATTTTTCTACCGATTAACCCTTTGCATTAACAACTTCTTCAATATTAAAATCCCCTATCATAAGTAGATCAATTGCAATTCCTAACTCTATATATTGATTTCTGTATAAAATATCAAGTAAGGTGATAGTATTGTTTTAGAACAATATAATATCTTGTTATTTATAAGAAAATTATGTTTATCTATTTTTCTCCGGCTTAGTTTTGTAGTCGTTTAAATTATATCCACAGAGACTGATATTGCATTTGTCTGCAAAAATTTAAAATGCATCTACTTTGATTGGCTTTTAAGTTGAATATTCAATATATTTTATAATATGTTTAGCCTAAATTCTTTTAACATCCTTCATTAATAAATAGTAAAAAAAGTCAGCAATTTCCTCGGTATACTTAACTTATTTATCGACTGTTAAGTACATAAAAATCTTAGTTTTCTCAATAATCCCTATAAAATATAAATTCAATTATTAAATAATGATTTTATAGTCTCGGAAATGCTACAATGATTTTTCAAACTTCTCCGCTAATTTAATGTTCCAAATTTCGTTCATAGTATCATTTATTTCTAAGACTATTTCAAGATTTTAAAAATTTTCATTTAAATTATCAAACTCATGCTAATCTTAAACAGTTTATGAGATCCCTCTCTCCTTTTCAACTGATGTATTTGATAAGTAATCAAGAGAGATTTCTTATACATTTGTCGAATCCATAATAATAATAATTATTGGATCTTTTTTTTGTTTTACTTTTGCTATATTGTTTATCTAAATAAAACAATCCCATTCAAATTATAATAATACATTTTTAGTTTACATTAATATTAAAATCATCTTATTAAATATACCTGAATTATTTGAACAACTCAAAAAAGTATGATTTAAAAACTAGCAATCTATGAAGTATAATTTCTAACCCTAATAAAAAAGCTTGGGTCTTCATTGTTTTATAGAGATATTCTTTATTAGAATGTAATACCTAGGATGGTTTCGTAGAGAATAAGAGGCTTTAAACGATTTTTCTAGGGTATGTGCTTGATTCTAACTTATTGTAAATTTTATTTTGTTTAATCGTGTTTATTAAGGAGAAATGGAAACATTTTAATATTTGATTGTTATCCAAGGTCAGTTTAATAGATATTGGAAGCAAAATTATTATGGATTAAAATAAGATCCAACAATATAAATACATATTCCAAAAAATAAATTGCAAAAATAGCTAGGAAATAATGTAGATGCTGCAGAAGATTTAAATAAAGTAATAGAATTAGATTCTAAATATCTAAATGTCCACAATCAGAGAAGTTTACAATCAATAATTTAAGAATAAGTATCCTTTATTCAATTTTGACTAATAATTTAATGCCTAAATAATTGAATAGTCATTTAGTTAAAAGACAACCATGATTTTTCAATATCTTGGGGTAATATAAAGAAGCAATAAATTTGTATTAGTCGATAAGTATTATCAAACCATGGGAACAAGATGCTAATTCTAAGCTATATTTTTCACTGAAAACAGATTTTAAAGTAAGAAAAGGCCTTAAAATCTATCATTCTTTAGAATTTATTTTGATTTCTCATCTAAAATTATTTGGAAAAAACTCCTAATATAATCAAAGATTATGGTAATGAATGAAAAACAATAGATTATAAAAAAAATTGGCTTATCCAAAGTCCTTTATATTTTCTTTTTTATTTCATATTTTTGAAGATATTGACTTTTGAGTTACATAAATTTGTGATATTCTGATTATTAGATACAAATGTAAAATATTTATAAAATTTAAAATTAGGTAATGAATTACTCTATGTCAAATAAGATATTACAATGAGAAATCTGCAAATATTAGGATAGTAAAGATTAAATTTCGACCTATGGAGAAGGTTATGTTGATGGTAAAGATGTAATTAAAGATGGTTGCTCGAATTGTAAGATTGATAATAATTATTTTTGTCATAATGAAATAATGAAGTAGTAAATTCGTTTTCAATGCTCAATTCATTGCAATTAATGCCAACTTGATCTTGACAAAAATTAGTAATGTATTAAATGCAAAATTGGATATTTTTTGGATAAAAATGATTGTGTTTAATGTTCAATTAATTGTTTTGAATGCATTGAACAAGCTAATTGCGTAAGTTGTAAGTTCCCACAATAAAAAAATAATAAGGATTAACTCTGCAAATTTGGGTATTATGCTGATGAGATTAATGGAACTTTTTTAAACAAATATGGAGATTAAATCAAAGTAAAAGAGGAGGAATGTGATGATGGTAATGCTATTAAAGGTTATAGGTGTGATAATGAATGTAAGCTAGAAAATAAGTATATATTTATAAACGGTTTAAGTATCATACCAAACTATCCAAAACCATTATTATAGAGTGTACTATGTTTACTCTATTATCTGATTGTTTAAATTGTGCTTTTCTGTTATTATTAATGTGCCAAAGGTTAAAAACTAGTTTTCATCTGAGCAAGCACAGATTTAACCTATTTTTTTGATGTATCAGGAATTAACTCCTTGAATCTAATCTGATTTTCATACTCTGATTCATACCTTAATTAAGTAAATTTTTCGTTGTGAATACTTTTTAATTAAAATTTATTTATTATAAATAGATTATTAACATATTAGTGGCAAAAGGAAAAGTTTAGAGAAATAACTCAGAAAATTAGGAGTTCTTAAACATTGTGTGGATAGAAAATTCAAATTACTTCTACTTTCTTAAATAGATTAATCTGTCTTTGGTAGTTTGCATGGATATAGCTCATAAATCATTTTTGATCAATAAATAACCGACTGATATTCAAAATTAAGAATTATGAATTGTACATTTTAAATAATTAATTATTTTTTATGCAGCGAACTCAAATTAGAATCGGTACAAAAAATCACCTGTTGTTAGTATTTTTTGATTTTTTTTAATATTTATTTTATAATTAATGAAATTGTTGTTAGAGTAATGAATCAAATAACATCCTTTTTTATTTTTTAAAACAATTAAGAATCACCTTATTAAGAATTAAGAACAGGAGAAAAGGTTCGCTCTTTGTATTCTTAAAAAAACTATCTCGATGCATAGAGATTAGGAGATAGAGATAAGATTATCTAATTTTTACTTCATTCAAATTAATAAATTCAAAAACTTTTTATGGTAACTATTAGACTATTAAAAAATAGTGTATCTCATCTCTCATAAAAAATAAGTTAACTTGAAGTAAAAATAAACAATAATCTATATTAATTCATATTACTTATTATTTCTTAATATTCGGTAAAAAAAACAAAATCAGAATTTTTTATTTAGATATATCAGAAATACCTTTTTTATTTTAGAACAATAATGATAAATATAGAAATATAAACATGTTATATGTATATAAAAGAAAACAAGTGTTTATTTTTATTTATCAAAGATCACTTCATTCTTTATTTTTCAAAATCACTCTTATGAGAGCAATTACTATTATATGAGGAAGAAATAATACATGAAAAATTTTAAAATAATATAAAATCTTATTAGCATTATTGTAATTATTTTTATATTATTCAATGTTATTCTAATGCGATCTCACTATCCAAAATGTAACAACCTTTAGATTTGAGTAAATATCTTAAGTCTATGCCTTTATAATTTATAAACTCTCCTTTTGAGATTAAAGCACCTTTTGCTTGAAAGATCGGATGTTAAGAAATTCGAAGAATTGTAAAATTAGAGTTAGCTAAAGTAGATGGAGAAATCGGTATTTGAAATTAAGTTAAAATATCTTTGGAAAAATTACCTGATGCTAATTTTTGTCCCGTCTTAACATCCCATATGCGAATAGACATATCATCACTACCAGAGGCTAATGTTAAACCATTAGGAGAAAAACAAACCTATCGGACGTAATTACTATGACCATCTAATTAGGCATATTATTATCCGGAATTAACATCCCATAAACAAATGGAATTATCATCACTACCAGATGCTATTGTATTACCATCAGGGGAAAAACTTATCGTTCTTATATTATGAATAAGACCAGTTAATTTTACAATTTAAGATACTGTATTAACATCCCATAAACAGATAGACTTATCATTACTACAAGATGCTAGCATAGTACCATCAGGAGAGAACTAGACTGATGAAACCCAATTATCATGACCATCTAATTTTGCTTTTTATTATCCTGTCTTAACATCCCATAAACGAATAGACTTATCATTGCTTCCGGATGCTAATATAGTACCGTCAGGAGAGAAACAGACTGATGTAACAGAATTATCATGTCCATCTAAATGTGCTTTTTAATATCCTGTAACATCCCATAAACGGATAGAACTATCATCACTACCTGATGCTATTGTATTGCCATCAGGAGAGAAACAGACAGATCGAACGTAATCACTATGACTTTCTAATTTTGCTTTTGAATATCCTGAATTAATATCCCATATGCAAATGTTGTTATCATCGCTTCCAGATGCTAATACAGTGCCATCAGGAGAAAAGCAGACTGATGAAACAGAATTATCATGACCATCTAATTTAGCCTTTTATTATCCTGTCTTAACATCCCATAAACGGATAGAGTTATCATCACCACCAGATGCTAATATTGAACCATCAGATGAGAAACAGACTGTTCGGACGTTTCGAGTATGACCATCTAATTATGCTTATTAGTCTACTGTTTTAACGTCCCATAAACGGATAGACTTATCAACACTACCAGATGCTAAAGTAGTACCATCAGAAGAAAAAAAAACTGACGAAACCCAATTATTATGACCAATAAATTTGCCTTTTTATTATCCTGTTTTAACATCCCATAAAAGAATTGACTAATCTCCACTTCCAGATGCCAATGTAGTACCATCAGATGAGAAACAAATTGATGAAACCCAATTATCATGACCATCTAATTTAGCCTTTTATTATCCTGTCTTAACATCCCATAATCGGATTGATTAATCTCCACTACCAGATGCTAGAGTAGAACCATCAGGAGAGAAACACACTGATTAAATATTATGAGTATGACCGTTTAATTTTGTTTGCTACTATCCTGTATTAACATCCCATAAACGAATAGACCTATCTATACTACCAGATGCTAATGTATTGCCATCAGGAGAAAAACACACAGATAGTACAGAATAAGTAGGACTATCAAATTTGCCTTTTTATTTTCGAGTCTTAACATCCCATAAATAGATATTTTTATCATCACTACCAGAGGCTATTGTAGTACCATCAGGAGAAAAACAGACAGTCCGTACATAATGACTATGGCCATCTAATTAGGTTAATAATTATCCTGTCTCAGCATTCCATAAATTGATAAACTTATCACCACTACCAGATGCTAAAGTTTTGCCATCAGGAGAAAAACAAACTGAATAAACATAATCTGTATGTCCATCCAATTTTGCTTTTTATTATCCTGTCTTAACATCCCATAATCGAATAGACTAATCTCTACTACTAGATGCTAATGAAGTACCATCAGGAGAGATACATACACAACATACAGTACCAGAATGACCATCTAATTTATTTAATTCATGTATTTTGATATTCTTCCATTTACAATTTAACAACTGGGCTCCATTCAAGTTAATTCCACTAATATCTACATTATCAAAAATTGAACCATTATAATTACACCTCACAAAATTTCCACCAATTAAAGAAGTATTACATATCCTTATATTCTAAAAGTTTTGTTCTCTAAGATCTATTTTCATCTAAACTAACAAATTAAGGGAATTTGATCCGCATTAAATAAATTCCCCATCCAATGCAGTTAATTGGACAAGAAATTTAAAAAATTCTATAATTCTCTTATTCCCAGATATTTTAGTAATTAGGTCTTTTCTTATTTCTTGATATTCATTGGATGAATAATTCTTTTTATTAAAATCATTTTCACTCATTGATCTGATAATATTAGTAATACACTAATCATTGTTTTTACAATCTTTTGAAAGAAAACCTATGCAATTTGAAATTTTCTCTCTTTTCAATTTTTCAATGATATTTGTGAAAATTTATGTATCAAAATCTTTCACTAATACTAAAATTTCATACAGCTCCCTCTTCTAATCGCAAGCAACTTCAAATTTATGAATTACTTCCTCTAGACTTATCCAATTTATAGATCTATTCAAATTTTTTTCATCTTTCATATTTTGAACAATCATTTCTTATAATACTTCTTTTTGCCATTATTTCATATTTTGGTTTGCATTTATTTTTTCATTAATTTGTTATTACTAATTTCTCCCTATATCACCTTCTGGTGAGATTTCAAAATAATTTTATTCTCCTGTAAAAATTTCGTAAAACACCCATCCCAAGGACCGAATATTTACTAAGGAATCCTAAATTTCGGCCTTAAGTGCTTCTTGTCCAAAAGGAAGTGAATATTGTTTTTAGGTTTGATTTTTATCAGCAAGTGATCTGACGGATCTAAAATTTATCAATTTAATTTTATTATCTATGCCTATAGCAAAATCCCCTGGTTTTAAGTCTTGAAGGTAAAATCCAAGTTACAATAGCTAGGAAACACCTTTTGCCATCTAATAAATTTAAAATCGTTTACTTGCAAACAAGCTTTAGTTTAATTGGATAGTTTCTTTAAATCCAAATTCTCTCCAAGTTCCATTATTGTGTAAGTTTCGTTTTCCTTCTTTTCAAAAGCAATCACTTAGATAATATGATCAAATTATTATCCTTTAAGAGCCATTAAAATCTGGTTTTCAGATTCAGAGATATATTTTTATATTTTTACCGCAACACACTTACCATCTTCAATTTGTCCTTAAAAGATGGATCCAAATCTTCCTTAATTAATAGGTTCATCAAATTAAACAGTTACAGTTATTGTTTCGACTTGTAACATTAATTTCTAATTCGATTATTTTTAGAAAATATAATTACTCATTGTAAAAAATTTTCCAATTTATGGATTTATACAAGAACTTAACTTAAGATGTTGCAATTCTGTTTTATTTTGTTGAGTGATTTGGTTTTCCTCCTTGTAAACTACTTCATTTAAGAAAAGAAATAAATTAAATTATTTTAATGGTATAATTGGTTTTAAGGATTAAACTTATAATCAACTAATAATTACAGATTTTATTTGATGTTGATATTTGACCTAATTCTTTGATAAAATAAACGAAAAATACAACCATTTTTGCAATCAATTATTTACAATGGCTACAATTTAGTGAAAGAAGTTATCTAAATTCTAAAGAGTTGAATCGAATTTGCAATAAAAGTGGTTTACTATCATAAATGGCAATGATGTTGTAATATATGCTGAGGAGCTTAGCACAATTCAAATGATTTCTTATCTTTTTTTGAGAGGTATTTAATTCTTTTAGTTTTTAATAATTTTTTAACTTCAATTTAACATATAATGGGATGAAATAATTCAATTGTTCAATCACATTCACATCTTATTAAATAAAGAGATTCCATGTATACCCCGGAAGGATGTAAGGGTCAGTTTAATAAGTCTGCCTTAATGATAGGCACCTCTTAATAAAAGAAAAAAATTTGATAAAATGGTTTTAATAAAAATTTTTTGCAAATCAGTAAGATTAAGAGGGTATTTCAGAAGAAGAATTTAAATAGGTCAGAGAACAACTTTCATTACACTTCAAATCTTGAGGAAAGTGAAATCCAATTTTAGAAAGAAAGATATTATATTTAGTTGAAAAAAAGCTATTAGTTTCTAATTCAATCAAAAAATTCCTCTTATTTAAGGTTTTTCTCAAATTCTACTTAATTACAATCAAACTTATTTGTAGAATAACAATGTATTAATTGAGAAAGAATTACAATTAAGAATTCTAATAAAATAAAATATATGAAAGTATTCTTCTTATAATAATCCTATATTTAGAATATCTACTTAAGAGCCCTTCAAAATAGATATATTTGGAATTTTAATAATATATAATGATTTTATTTATAAGGCACGGAGAAAGAGCAGATATGGTTGATAATCCAACTGAAAGGAAAAAGGTTCTATTAAAATTTGATCCCCCTCTAACAGAAAAAGGTGAGTGTTAGGCAAAAATTACAGGTGAACAATTAAGAATATAAATCGAAGAATTTGCAAATCAAAAGTAAATGAAAACTTATGATTTATCAATTGTAAAAAATATTTTAGAAATTTAGAATTTTATGTCCTCACCATTTTTGAGATGCATCTAAACTGCTTTGATTTTGATGAAAGAGATTCCAAATAATTCCAATCTATATATTTAAGATGAAATTGGAGAATTAATGTACTCTCATTCATTTAATTAAAATGTATTGATGTAATTACATCTCAACACCGTGTAACACCCAATTTTAACAATTGATTATATTAAAGGAATTTAAATTAGAAAAGAAAAGTTATTTAATGCTAATCTACCTTAGCCTAAATATCCTGAAGAGTAAAACTATTGTTAACTTCGAGTTGGTAAGTTTTTTTAAGAATTATTAACACATATGAAGTAGTCTTCGAATAAAAAGAATTCCATTTATATATGTATAACACATCAAGGAGTAGTTTCATTAACTTTAAACATTCAAAATGTTAAGAGTCCATTTTTAGTTGGTTAATGTGGTCTGTCCTCATTTATTTTAGATGATGATGGTCTTTTAAAAAACTAATTTAAAGGGGAATCCCTTTGGAGCTGAGCAAACTTAAATAACAAAAAATTTTTTAATTCATATAAACATAAATAGCATAAATATAATAAATTGATATATTGTATTAACTAGTATATAAGTCATTAACAAATTATCTAAAATTTATGAAATTTTATAAATAATCTTATATATGCGGCATACTAATGGATATGACAAAATTCATAAGTATTTTGAATTAATAGATTAATATCAAAAACTAAAGAGTGTCAAATTTAAAAAAGGAAAAAAATAAAAAGAAGTTGAGTAAATAATTAAATCTTGTTTTAATAGGAATTAATTATTAATAACATTTTAATTATAAAATGGCAAAAATTTAATCTATCAATTAATATAGATGAAAAGAATGGCAAATTTGGAATAGCTTTTAGAATCTGAATTGTTTTATTATCAATTAATTTTAAAAAATCAAAAAAAATTGATACTCTGTAACTACATTATCGAAAAGTATTTGTATGATTTCAAAAAATAATGTTTTTTTTACTTTCAATAGAAAGTTAAATATATATTATTCAATTCTTAAGAGCGCTGGAGTATAGATAATATGGGATTAGTAGCTAAATATGTTCTGTGACAAAAATGTTTATGTGGTTAGATTCAAAAATCTCCAAAATAGATCTTGATTCTAAGAATGTTGATATTGATCATAAAATTTGATTATATCATAGATTATAGAAGCAATTTACAACATTAATTCATAACAATAAATTGCTCTGGTTATTTAAACTATTTGATACATGGTTTTTAGAGACACAATCTTTTTAGTGATTATTATTAAAGTGAAATATATAATTTATTCTGATTTAATGCTTCTATTTATGCTTTCAAATTCAGAGAACAAATTTTTCACTTAAATTAACTACATTAATTATCAACATTTTAAAATGTATGGTCACTATAGGTTACTATATAAACATTTAAATTTAAAAGAAATACAATTAGTAAATTTTTGTTAAAATGTCAATTTGAAGGAAGTCTTGAAAATTTTAGCTTATGGAGAAAGAGATAAAAGACTGAAATGCGTCTTCTCTTTATGATAGTTATATTCTAATGGTTGGAAAGCATTTTTACCACCAATTTACTGACCTCATCAAAGCTATTTGCAAAATAAAAAACTGAGTCCTTAAGATCTAGGAGGATGAAGAATTTAAAGAGTATGAAGTCAACGTTTTTTGAAATAAAATACTTGTTTGGAATTGGGGTGTGATTAGAATTGTTGAAAGAATAAATTATTTCATGAACAAAATTGTGATCTCTTATAAAAAATAAAAATTGTTAAAGAGATAAAAATAATTATAGATTTTCAGTTTATAACTTATAATCGATTTGAATGAAACGTATATTCTGATGTAAATACAGATCTAGTGTTGAAATTGATATCTTAAGTCTACAGTTATTTTTTCGTATAATGAGTGATATTAATTAATGCTTCATGAGTTTTTGACTGAAATAGATTAAATCTCGTTATAGCACTGGGCTATAACAGAACATAACAACAACCAGTGGAGACAAATCTTGATCGGAATGTTAACAAGCAAGCAGACTACAACTATAAATCTCCCTATGTTGTAAAGGCTACCCAAGAAAGGTAACATCTTCGACGACTCCATAGATACTAATTCTAAGTGCACTAGCTGATCATATTTATTCACATATCGTGAGATCAAACAATGCATGAGACTCTATCATTAATCATCCATTGAGTATTTATTTATCTTTTTCCTGATTCTGTCAAAGTATGACTGCGATTTCTGACATTGTAAAATCTTTTTTCTAAGAAAAGTGCTTTGAGAATAACCTGCAAAAGTGAAACTGAACGAATATGGTAGATGTAATGACCACTCAAAAAATCTATCATTTACACATTTCAAAATAATAATAAATCTAAGCATTAATCGTTTTGTTAAGAAATTGTATGAGTAATGCATGCTAAAATTTGAGTTGAAAATCTAATATTTTTGGATAAATTTATCTTAATTTTTACCTATCAAATTTTCTTTAATGTGCATAAAGATTTTATTGAATGCATAATCTAAATTTTATTATTAAAATAATTTCTTTAGATCAGCCAATTAAATATTAATAGATCATTGAGATATTACAATTATTATGATTGACTTTATCAACGTGGAGCAAAATTGGCTTGATATTCAAATTAGTGATAATATTTATTCTTTAAAATTGACTAAAATAAGATCAATACCATTATTTGAATAATAGATTAAAAGGCAAGTGAGGGGAATATTTTTTAATAAAATTTGCTTTTTGAGGTTATAGTAATTTAAGTCTTTAGTTATTAAAGGGGTAACACCAATTAAGAAGGTCTTTAGAGGAGATAATGCTAATTCTAACAATATCACGATGAAAATTATCATCAGCAACCAAATTTCCAAAATCAACGCTTATAGAATTATAAATTTTATATTAATTTATCTCTGTTAGATTATGCTTAAGACTACCAAGTGCAAAATGTTTTTGATAAAAACCTTTTAAGATTTGTTAACATCTAACATTTTGAAGCATTAAAATACATGTCTCATTTTTTTTAAGAAAGAGTGCAAGTAAAAAATGACAAACATAATAAATAAAAAAAGGAAAATTCATAAGACAAAGAGAAATTGAAGTAACTATCCGTTATATAACTTTCTAATGCATTAGTATTTTAGAGAAATAACAATATAATGCTATATTTGTAATAGCTTTAATTAAAGAAATGGAGAATATTAATTATAAATATCCTCCTCAACTTCCTTATATTAGAAGCCTTTAATTACTATAAAATCTTAATAAAATGGGAGGTATAGAATTAATAATCCTGTAGTTAATAAATATATGAAATTTGAAAATTATGTAGATAAAATATTTTAACAATTCGTTAATACAGTTTAAGGTGATTTTTTCAATAACTAATGGTCTCTAATTTCAAAAACAAAGGTACAACAATTTCAAAAGATTACAAGAAATTCAATAAAACCATATCAAGCAAATATTTCTGAAATATTTGCTTTTCAACAGTCTTAACCTGAAGGGGCCTTTATTACAAATTTAAGAATCACTAAATTATTGGTTTTTGGTTCCAAATTCCTTAATTCAATAATATTTAGGCATAACTATTAATAAGTGGCAGGATCTAATATTTAAGATTAATAATACTCTTAATAAGTTTGAAAAATCGCAATACAATAGTTTCTCAATGCTTAGATTATATAATTAAAAATCAACCCAAGCACAAGTTCAAGTATAATAAAAGTGAGTTTCTTATAGTATTTCAGAAAGCTGAAAATGAATTTGGTCTTAAAGACCATTAGTTGTATTCAGAAACCAGTCTTTGACTGATTATGCTTCAAAATATTAACTGATAATTTTAATAATATTAATATAGTTTGTAATTTAAGATGATAAATTGCAAAGAAATAACAATATAAAAATTATAATAGGTATTCTTTTCGACTAAATAAAATAACAATTTTAAGATAATATTTGCAATTTACAATAAAAAGGTTATTGTGATAGAACAATGATTATTAACAACATTTTGTTAAATTGTGTTTTCTATTATATTAAAAAGCATTTTTTTTGCTAACAATAACTTGCAAAAATAACAATTTTCACTACCTTTGATAAAAATTTTTGAAGGCGAAATTCTTATGAGTTAATTTGATCAGAGTTATCTTATTGTTTCCTCTACCAAATAATTGCCCCTTTGCAATAATATTTAAAATAAATGCTCTCTTATCTGAGTTAATAAATCTTTATTTCTTTGAATCGTTTAGAATTTTACCTTTGCTTTAAATAACATCAAAATTTAAGGAGAACTAGTATTTTTAAGTTAGCAATAATTTATTCCCTTTAAAGATTTGGTTGTTTTCTAATTTTTGTTGAGATGGCCTTTCTTTTTCACTACAGAATTTTCAGTAGTCTCAGCAATTATCTTCAATTCGAAAGTTAAAATAAATCAAAGATACAATAATATGTTGTATATACATTTTTTATGGAATAAATTCAAAATTCAAAAAAAAAAATAAAAAGAATAGCAATGGATTATGCAAAAAAATGAACTTTAGATTTCAAATAATGCAATATCTCAAAATTGATTAAGATAAATTCTCCAATTTAATTTAATAAATTTGAATATTATGCTGACATAATATACCCAAATACATAATTTCATTTTTATTGATATAATGCCCATCTTATTTAATCAAAATATTTCCTTAATATGTACCTATTTGTTTCATAGAAATCGAAATCAAACTCTGTTCTTTCAGTTGCTTTTTCAAATGGAACTCCATTCATCAATTTGTCTATTACAATTATGCTTATATTAATTAGACTAAATGCGATAAATTCAATACTGAATATTTCGACGATATATTCTCAATCTTTCTAATCGATAGACAACTGCAAAATATTAATGGTATCCCAAACTTTTATCAAGCAGCAATTACTCAAGTTCTTCAATTGTTTCCTTAAATTTTGAATTTTATTCATTCAAAATTTCCTGAGCTAAGGATAAAGCTTTCCTTTCTAATTATAAATCTTAGATTTTAAAAATGGTATCTACAGAATGAACATTAGTGTTCCTAGAAAATTATTAAAAATTAGACATACCAATATATTAATTTACAAAAAACAATTAACTCATAAGGAGGAACTATATGTTTTAGTTTGAATCTTTTCAATCTATTTAGTTTAAATCTATGAACAATCCAAATTCCCACCTTACTTTTGAGATATTTTAAAAATTCAACCCTTAGAAATGTACTATCATATTTATTATATTCTAGAGACATTCCATATTTAAGCAGCATAATTCTATTCGACAATCTGCTATAGCAAAAGTATACCTAGGACCCTTTCTCAAAAGGATCTCTGGTTCTCATTAGAAGATTTTAAAAGGTCTCTTTCTAGAAAGCTTATGTATAATAATCACAACTTCGATCTACAGGTTGGGATAAGATTTATTCCATGCTAAATATAGGTCTTTCTGGTTTCCTACCTATCTTTTGAGCAAAATAATTGTATTTTTATTAGATTGGTCTTTTTAGAACTTCATTTTAAAAAGAATACCATTGATTTTTATATTAATTGCAATCAATTTTAATTTGTTTTAGTTCTGCTCTAACTTAATAGGATGACCTTTCCTAACTAAAAAATTATTCGATTAGTTAATCTAATTATTAAAAGATTTGCCCAAGAAAAAAAATTGAAAAATTATCTCCAAAATCAATCGTTTAAAACAAAAATGCTTTGCAATCTATTGCTAATTAGAAAACATCTCTTTAAATATTCAATCTAATATTAAATTCTTTTCTCATTTTAATTTATTCATTACTTATCTCTGACTCATTTTTCATGAAACACCTTCTTATATTTTCTTCAAAATTTATGATTGAATTTTGACTAAATTATTCAAAATTAAATTCTTAATACTAATCATACTCGCCGGTTACAAATTCTGAATCACTCATGTCATCTTCTGAAAGTTAAGAATTTTCTGAGGATGTAATTGACAACTCATCATCGTTTTATTATCCATTAACTAATTTTTTTGTCATAAATTCAAAATTGTACCTTGTACTTTTATCTTATTATTCTAGATCATAACATACATCAGCACATTCATGATTAAAAAGTTCACAAAATGGTACCATAGTGACATATTTTAACCCTTAACCTCCAAAGCATCTTGTAACAATACTTGTATGAATCCAGATGGCATTTTCCATTGTTACAATTCCAGGTTTATAAAGGTTTGGAAATTTGTCTGCAATATATCTAAGAGTTTAAAAAGTAACTAAAAGCCCTATATACTTTTTTCTTGCACTTTTTATTATTTTTTCATCTTTTAGTGATTCTAATTCTTGTGTATTCCAAAATACAGCATAATCAACATCTCTTGGGAAGTTTACTATCATATGATACCATTTGGAATCGGTTCCTCTTTAATATTCATATAATAGAAATGCAAGAATTTGGTGATATTCCCATTAAGAATGAAATTATGGACTAAAAAATTATGGATATTCTAGAAACATAGGCTTTAATGGAGATTCAAATGCCTATAGGGTAGTAAGTAACGTTTCTCTAGGAAGAGTGACAAGAGTGTCATTTGGGACAATATGCTCAGTTGCTCGATAAATGAAAATCAATATACCAATAAGTCCTGGATACTTTAAACCATTTTTTGTTTAAAAATAGGCATATTTGACTTTTTTGATCAGCGATCCTTGGGATGAGAGATGTTCAATAAAATCTTCAATATGCTTTGGGGTTTCAGAAGTGATCGCGTTTGGGTCGGCCTTTTTTAATCCTTTTAATTTGTGAAATTTTTTTCCCGTGCTAGACCTTTTCATTATCAAATTATTAATAATAATTTTGTGAATAAATTTTGTAATCAGAACTCATGTTTACATCTCTAGATAACAAAAAAGGATTTGTGATTATTAAACTGCATATTTAATATTCATATAATTACGCTTATTTCGAAAAAACAATTGGTTTTTTATATATAGATATTGATAAATTATGATAATCGTTAATTGTTAAGAGATCAAAGATCGCTTGCATAATTGTAATCAAACTATTTTTAAATCTTAAACGATCTAATGTATTAAATTACATTCAAATTTAACCATTAGCTATTTTTTTTTTGAGTTTTTTGAAAACTAAAACACTATAAAAACTATTATATATTCTATATTGATTTTGATAATTATTTATTATTATAATAATATAAATTAAGAGGTTTATTAACTCTAGTATTCTTTAAGTGAAATATCTTTATATAAATGAATCATTGATAAATATAAATGAATTCTAAGTCCATTTCTTAATCTTCAAAACTAAGAAGTTTAATTTTAGATCCTAAAAGTATCAATTAACACTTAATGTGTGCGATCTGTAAAGAATTAGTTATAGATCCTCGAGAGTGTGGCCGATGTAAAACACTATTTTGTTCTATATGTATAAATACATAGTTAGAATAAAATTGTATTAAGTGTGATCTATTAGATAGAAACTTGTCAGAAGTGTAGTCAAAACATTTAATTGAATGATCCTCATCCAATTATCAGAAATTTAATCTCTGAAATACAAATAAAATGTACAAATGAAGGATGTTCTCAATAAATGTAAATCTCAAAATTAGATTCTCATTTGAAGTAATGTGAATAGGAAAAAACTAAATGTCCTCATTCTGGTTGTGACTTCAAAGACACTTTGCAATAGATGAAGATTCATTAATATACATGTGGGTACAGAACTAAAACATGTTAGAAATGTAAACTAATTCATAAAATGAATGAAGGGCATGATTGTCTGGATGTTGTTTTAAAAAAAGTTAAAATAATGGAGGAGTAAATAAAATAATAAAACATAATCATAAGTGATATAATGTTAAAGGTTGAATAAATTCATAAAAAATAAAATGATAAAAATACTAATTTTTGCTCAAATGAGTTCGAGTAAAATTTAGATACGCCGAAATCTGATAAATGTCAATAAAACAATAAAACATGTATTTGTAAAAAGGGTGATGCATATTAATGTATAGTGTGTAAATTGTCTGAATTTCTGTCTCCTTGATTCAAATGAAATATAATTTTTGAAATATTATTGTAGTTACTTTTAAAAACTTTTGTTATCATCTAATCTAACTCATATAAATAATCATTTTATTGAAATTTATTCTTACATAATTTAATTTCACATCATGTAAGATAAACAATTGTATTTTAATATAGATTTCTATTTCATTGACTAAATTATCTAAAGAACAATAATTGTAACTGAAAATATTGAAGATAGATTTGTTTTAATCTAATTTATAACTTATTCTGTAGGTAATATTATTTTGAGTTTATTAACAAATATTAAACTATCTCAAAATAACATTCAAAAAGAACAATTCTATCATAAACATAATATGTAAATAATTATTTATTGTGTTAATTAAATAAATTTTGATAATCATTTAAGTAAAGTATTGAAAATAATGTTAATATAAATTGATTAGATTAATGTTTTTATCAAAATAAATTTTTTTTGTGTTTTTTCCTTTCCTTTCAATTCCTTATTCACTTTCAGATTTAATCAAATTCTATAATTTAGCAGCTACCTATTTTCTTTAATTTTTACGCATTTCAATTTTATTATCATTAAACAAGTAACCAAAATAGAATTTTTTCTAAAATAAAATACTTCATTTCGTTATTATGAGGAAAGAACTTCGATTCAAATTCTTTCCATTCAAATTTCTAAGGTAGTATTTTCAATGTATATGAGTTGCTATAATAAGCTTAAAAATCATAACCCAATATTATAGCTTTTATTTTATTAATGTATTTAACTTAAAGCCAATGTATTATACCAAATGTATCTTTATTTTAGTAAAGTTTAGATAGAATGAAGATGATACAGTTTACATTTAATTATAAATTATTAAAGCTAATAATTAAAATTCAATATAATTGATCTAAGATTTACTTTAAATTATTTATTATACATTATTCTCAAAATTGACCTAAATTTATTTTATTACAAATTATTTGACTATTTTACTTTACTTAGGACATAGATGTAATTTATTGATATTATTATAAGATAACAATTTCTTATTACGAATTATTTGACTAATTCGCTGAGCTCTTTATCCACATTTATTTTCCACATCTCTTCTTCCCCTTAGGTGGAATATGATTGGAAGAAGCTTTTAGTGCCAACCGACCTTGAAAATCATTTCTCTTAGATGTTTCCTCTATTATCTCAAGGCTTTCAGACTTAGATCCTAATGATTAATTAAGTATCTCTTGGCATTAGAAAATATTCATGATGATTCAATTGATTTTGAAAGAAAATGAATAAAAATTACTTCAAATATTATTCTCACCTTGATAACATTTTGGCGAATAAATTTGAATAATGTACATTAATATTCTTATGTAATTAAATTGTTTATTAGGTTAGAGAAATCTTAAAAAATTAAAAAAGCTCATTTATAGTAATGAATTGAGATAATACAATAGAAAAAAATTAATAGAATTCTAATTTTAAATTATTTGATGGATAATCTAATACAAAGTAACAAAAATTTAAGTAAGGTTTCAATAGATTATCTTATAATAATATTTAATAAATTACATCTATATAAAAAGCTCAGCAGATTAGTCAAATGATTTGGAACTTAAGATATTATCTTATAATAATTCAATAAATTACATCTATTAATTCATATTAACATAATAATAATAAGGAAAAAAATAATTATTATTATTATAATAATAATATCTAAAAAAGTTTCACTTATAATCTACTAATATGATAATTATTAAAAATAAACAATGATTGATACCAAAAATACAAATATAATTTTTCATCAAGTCACTTTGTAATTAAGGGAATAACAATAAATAATTTTGATTTTTTGTATTATCTACAAAATTAATTCAGAGTAAATTATTCTAACAAAAAATTTCTTAAGTTTAAATTAATTATCAAAATATCATTGTTCGATGATTCATATAAGAATAAAGGAAGTAGAAATTTCTGGTTAATATATTTGTCAACTTACCACTATGTAAAAAACAATTTAACGGAGCTGAATAAAATTCAATTACGATAAGATTAATATAATATCGATAAACTTTATAATTGGCGTATCATGAAATCATTAATAATAAACTTTATTTTTATATTTGAAATTAACAAACTAATATTAAGGATAAAATAATAATTTGTCTGCTAACTTAAACATTAATAAAATATTCTATCATTTTATAATTTATAATAGCTACATCACCATTCTAATGAATCTAACTTTTATTCAAATTCTCTTGATCCCTCATAAAATTAAGAATACCATTATCTCCATCTCATCAATACGGGATCAGCGTCTCCTTTTAAATTATAACAACTTTAAGCTGCAAATATTTTATTATCCCACACACTTACATCAGAAATAATTTATCTCAACCCACCAGATAAAATATATGCACTAAGCCAATAAGGTAAATAAGAATTTATGTGTAATGTTAAGAAAACCTTTTGATTGAATTTTTCGACAGGTTACAAGGCTTATTTATAGAAAACCTCAAATAGACTAGATAAAATATATAATTAGATTGTGGCAGGTCCCATTTAGAATCCTGTTATATATAATGCATTAATTTTCCATTTGTTAAAGAACATCAGAGATCCATCTAAACATAAAACATTCATATATGGTCTTAATTCTTTATTTGACAAATAATGATCAAATAATTACTTTTAATAATTTCTGATCTTTTCTTTTGGGTGTTCCATTTTTTTATAAAAGTCAGGTTCATTTGCAGGCATGCTTTTCATGTTCCATTTAAACTTAATAAGCCAAGTAGGAATAAAATCACTAACTGATGCGTGAATATAATCAAAATGACGAATATCTGCTCCATTTTCAGGAAACTCTTAAATATGACAATTAATAAAGTTGATGCTCTCTCCTCTTAATTACAAATGATCACATTTCTCAACCATAGGTTCATACCATGGTTTTGCTTCCAAACAATGAAGCCAAATGTACACCATTCCCTTAATCTCTCTAATGAGATAAGTTTTTATTTTGATTTCTCCTTCTTATACTTTTTGTAAGTATTCCCCTTTGTTATTGGGATCCATATTTTGAATATTATTGTAACAATATGTAGATACAATTTTAGGATCTAATTTTTCAGAATTGACACATAATCCAGATTTGCCATCGAATGCCCATCCATGGAATGGACATTCAATACAGGAATTGAATTTAACTTATCCTCCAATTCCAAGATTAGCTCCCATATGTGGACAATAAGCAGCAACAGCATAAACTACCTTATCTGTTCCTCTATAATAAGCTATGTGTCGACCAGCAAGTTTGATTTCCTCCACTTATCTATGATAAATGTGTTGACTCCTTACCCAATCTTCAATTCTGCACTCCTACAAAGTCGATACCATCCATTTGGATATGATGGCGGACACTTACCTCTTGTTTATTTGTGTCGAATAATGTTTTCTTTCTTTTTCTCCTCTATTACAAAGAATCTAAACTTTTTATGATAGAAATAATAGAGTGCTATTAAGCACAAAGGTAATAGTATTTCCAATGAGAAGTACTCCATGAGTTTGTGTAATAATATTATTAATAAGAAGATTTATATTTTTAAATTTAGACTTGAATTACATTATTTAATATTAATTAAATGATTTTTGAACATGCATTAATAATCATTATGATGAGGATGAAATATTCAAAACATTTTTAATTAATTTCGATATATTGATAATTATTTAATATAAATTAGATAGCGTAATTTATTAGATAATGAGCAAAAAGTTCTTAAATACAGAAATATTAGTGGAAGCGGGTACAAAAATGTTATAATTGGTGTCCAATAAATTTGATGAGATTGCCCAATTAAAATACCCTGTAGTCCCTCAGGTACAACCAGGATTCTTGAGATAACAAATTTCAGAATAGCCTCCCTTAGAACCTGAATCACTTGATAGCATTTTAAAAGAAACCGAAACTAAAGTAAATTACTAAATTAAAGAATTAGATTTTCCCTGGACTTACTTTATGGAGTCATCCAAACTTTTATGCCTATTACCCATCAAATATTACACATGCTTCAATAATAGCAGAAATATTTGCTTCCGCATTTGGAACACCTGGGTTTTAATGGCTAGCTTCTCCTGCACAAACAGAATTAGAAAATATCGTAGTTGATTGGGTAGTATATGGTTTAGATTTACCAATCAAATTTTTAATGAAAAATTAAGGAGGAGGAACAATCGCTGGCACAGTTTCAGATGCTATATTTATTTCTGTGCATGTGGCCAAGAGAAGAAAGATGAAGTAATTGAATATTAATACAGATTCTGCTTAAGTTTGCAAATTTGTAGGGTATTATGTAGAGAGTGCTCATGTTTGTGCTGCAAAAGCATTGCATTTGAAGGATATATATTATTAAAAGAAACTACCTATTTTATTTAATGAGGAATTACAAAATTATGTTGTTGATTTAGAGAAGGCAATAGAGATAATTGAACAGGATATTAAAGATGGGCTTATTCCATTTTGGTTAAGTTGCTCATTTGGTACAACAGGAACTTGTGCATTCGATCCGATAGATAAATTAGGTGAGATTTGTTAGAAATATTAAATTTGGTTCAATGTGGATGCAGCTTATGCTGGATCATCTTGGCTTATAAAAGAATACAGAGAGAAAGCCAAAGGATTAGAGTTTGCAGATTCTATTGAAATCAACTTTGCAAAATTGATGATGTGTGGATTGACTGGAAGCTTATTTTATGTTAATGATAAAAGTGAATTAGCTGAAGCTATGGGAAACAAGATTGATTTTGAGATTTATAAGAATAAATTCACCGATAATTATGATGTTTGGGATTATAAGGATTGGTAGGTAGCTTTGGGTAAGAGATTTAATTCAATTAAAATGTTTTGGATGATAAAAAGCTTGGGATTGAATGGTATGAGAGAATAGATTGAATAGAAGATAGAAGTGGCTAATCATTTGGAGCAATTAGTAAGAAAATCTAACAGATTC